AACCAGCTAGAGGAGAACGAGCTCCTCTCCTCTGGGCTGAAAGTTCAAGAGCGTCTGCTCTATACCGCACTAGCACCCAGGGCTGCCAAAAGGCACTGGCACTGTCAATGCGAAAGGGATGTGCAAGGCCCTACTGGGTTGCCCGGGGCCAGACAGCTCCTTCACGACAAGCATACATATCCCAGACTACGTGGTTTTGTGCAAAAAAACCCCCCCAAAAACCACAAACCAAGAAAGGACCAAAATGTCACCTACTAGTAGTAGCCCCGCTCAGATTCATGGGCAACACAACCCTCTCTTTACAGCTTATCAAAAGCCAAAAAAGAGACCAGCACAGACAAATGGATTAAAAGAACCTGTAGAAGCAGAGGACAGCTCAGAGAATTGCAGAAAAGCCCTGCAAGCCATCCACGCGTTTCCAACAAGAAGTAAAGAAAGCCTTTGGACCTCCAGCACTACCAAGTGTCTCCTTGACAAAACCTCTGCAGAACCCAACAGGTAACAGCTTCACTGAGCCAAGCAGCCAAAAGCCCACCCAGAAGCACCAGGTTTTGGTCTCACCTGACTCAGTTTCTCTTGGGTCTCTGCCTTCTCTGCTGCCAGCGTCCTCAGCTCGACCCGCAGCCCCTCCTGCTGCTCCTCCGCTTGCTTCAGCAGCTGCTCCAGGTGGGCTTTCTCTGCGCACAGCTCTTCACTTGTCCTTTTACACAACTGCAGCTTCTCCTGGTCAGAGGCCCTTGCTCTCTCCACCTTGTCCACTTGACCACACAGAACTCCATTCTCTTGCTCCAGCTGCAATCACAGAAGCGCAGAGGAAATCAAATACAGTACGATTTACTCTGCCAGAGGTTTGGCTTGCACACAAAAAGGAAGAACGTTGCCATGGTCAGGCAGTCACACTGTCGGAAGGCAGCAAGTCTGGGAAGAAGCAGCAGCTGGAGGCAAACACCTGGCAAGGTCTTTGGCAACTCTGCTCACCTGCAGCACAAGCTTGTTCAGTTGCACTTTATCCAGGGCAAGAGCTTCATTGATCCTGCTCATGTTGACTGTTGCAGCACGTAGATCGGCCATTTCAGCAGTCAGCTTATTCTGAGCCCCTGCCAACTCTGTTGCTGACTGCTCTGCCTGAGAAGACAAAAGCACAATATGAAAACAAAGGCAGGAAACCCCCTGACTTCAAGCAGTGACTCCACACCCCTTTGTGTCTCTGACGTACTCCCAGTTCAGAGATCCCAAGAAAGATGGGTGCACTAACTACCCCAAAGAGCCTGTGGGGCCTGGTAACCATTTCCAAGGAGAACAACATCTTCCCTGTCTTCTACTGCCAGAAATAGCATCTGTGGTGGTCTTGCTATCCCTGCTCCCTCTCCCACAGGCGCTGCCTAGCAGTGAGCTGACCGTACCTTCTCCAGGGCCATGGCAAGCTCCTGTTTCTCTTGCTTCAGCAGATCCCTCTCAAGGGATTCCTCCACCAGTCTCTCGTGCGCCACTACCAACTCACTCTGTAAGAATGACTGTTTTCCTTCAAGCGCCGCTAAGTCCTTCAGTCTACAAGAAGGGGGGAGACAAACAAGCTGTTACTGTAAACACATCCTCATTTCCAAACCCAAGAGGACATACGATGTCCCAGACTGAAGGATTGCCAACGGCTTTCTCTTTACCCCTAAAGAATGCTGGAATTTCCTGACTAGAGCTGCATCACGCTCTGGCACTGATGCAGGTGAAACACTCATCACTGACAACATAAGAGAAGCTTCCAGAAATTACAGAACAGGTTGCTGAATCCCTGCCTTCAGGGTTCAATTCTTTGTTCTCCTTAAAGCCACTCTGAACCTCTCATGTTTCTGCTTATGCCTGTCATCAGCTGCTCTGCTCAGGTTCGGGACGGTTTTTTTCAAGGGTCATAAGAAAGTGCAAGGAGGCAGCTACGCTGGACGTCAGTAGGTAGCCAGGCCTGCCCACATGCTCCCTTCCCCCTCCTATGCTACGACTGATGAGCGTGCAAAATGCATTCTTTCACGGCGGGCCTCCTGAACTCCAGCAACGCCCACCCCTGCCCAGAGAAAGCTTTAGCACTCACAGGAGCTCCTGCTCACGACGTGCTCTCTCCATCGTCTGTTGCTGCTCCACCTTTTCCCCCTGGGCTGAAGCTTCCTTCAGCTGCAGTTCAGCGATGCCTTGGCGCAGACGCGAGGCTTCTTGCTCCGTCACTTCAAGCCGGTGCTGTAGCTCTTCCCTGCTTTTCTCCAGGTTTGCACAGTCACTGCAGAGACAAGGCTCCGTTAGAAGAATGACGAGCCCTGAAGAGTCACCCGTCCCATTGTCATCCTTCCAGGATGGAGTTGTGGGGAGCACGGGAAAGAAGAACTTGCCCTTCCCCTCGCAAGGTCACTGAAGAGGGAAAGAGAAAGGCAGGC